TATCCGCGACACCTTAAAGGCCGTGAAAATATTGTCGGGCATAAACCGGTCCGTGGCGCAAAAAAGGTTGGAGACCGCTGCTCTTAATTGTTGTGACACGTGTTCGAAATGCAGAGAGGTGCGCTTGATTTGCCACACGGAGCAGCGCGAGAGTAAAGCACGAGGGAGGGGCTAATAATCGGCTCAGTTCGTAAGCCCAGATCGTAATCGAGATTAAAATTCGATTAATTGAGCAGCCCTACTTAATCTAATCTGTTTAATCTAAGTCTCATTCTTTTTTTAACACTATCAGAATGAGATCACAGATACAAGCGGCAGAAATGAGTTTTATCCAAAAGGTGGGTGTGAGTTCAGTGATCCAGGAGCAGTTCAGAGTAGAGCCGTGACTCCTCCACATTGAAAGGTGTTCCAGCTGGGCACATCTGGGAGGAGGCCACCTACTGGCCAACCTGGGAATGGTTCCATTTTTGAATCGATAAGCTGGAGGAGTATTAATCGTTTTGTTATTTTAGATTTTAATTTTTATCAAAGTGGTCATCATAAACTTTGAAACCAGGTCCATCATTCATAACGTGTGGCACAATGCGCTGTACTTTTCAGTCTCAGTTTATTCATTTTTCGGATATTAGTTTGTCGTGTTTTAGTGATACGTGAACATCTTTGGCAGTAGTGTGTTTTCACATCATATCTAACATCGGTATGTCGTTGTCTGTCTGGAGTATAATGTGTAATAGTCATAATGAATGATGCGAGGTGCGGCACAGTTAAACTGCTGGATTTATTGTTGAAGAATGTGATCGATGGCTTGTTCTTAGTTTTTGACTTTAAACTTTTTTAAATTTAACTTAATATCTAAACGTTTCTTAGTTTTAGATTAGTCAGTCTAATATTTTTTCCTTGTTTAGTCGACTAAGAAATGACTCTACTGGACTGTCCCTAGTAATAAGGGATGAAAATTTCAGGGAAAAATATTGCTCTGATCTAACTGGGAACTATTCTAATGTTCTTCAATCATCCTCCAGCTGAACTTTATCTCAAATGACAATGCATAATTGTAGCAGACTTGTGACCGCCTAGCTTTCCTCACTGGAGTCTGCATTGGACCACTTTTCTGTTATGTTTTACTTTACGTTTTAAGGACATGGCTTAAAACTACAAGAATGTCTGGGTGCTTGGAAGCAAAATATGAAGAAATGAGGCTGTAGACTTGCGCACAGTACTGTGATATACTGAGATATTTTTCTCACGTTTTGTGTCGAGCTCATTGTTTCCCCTGTAGTGACTGAGTTGAGTCCTAACGGCTAAAAATGTTCCTCGGCTTCTCCGTCAGACTCTTCTCCTGCTGGGACACAAAAACAGAACTTTAAGGATTAGGACATCATTTTGATCCCTGACAAAAAGAAGCAGAGAAAATAAAAATTATCTTCTAAATAGAAAACATTAAAAGGAGTGATTTGTTCCAGCAGCTGCAGGATGGTTTCTACAGGATAAAGAAAAAAACACACACCACAAAAAAAAACATCCACACAGAGATTCTCTGAGAGAAAAAAAAAGAAAACACACACACAGACAGGCTCTCTCCAAACCTTTAGAACAAAAGCTGTCCAACATTGTCACAAAGTTACTCCATTTTGACCCCACCCTCATCATCACTGGACTCAAATAGGAAGAAGCATTTATGTCTGAATGCTATTTGTTCATTACAGCTCATTAGAATACCACCTTCTCCTCTAAGCTGACCATCAATCAACTCTATACTGACCAGCAACTGGATGCTTCACTTTCTGACTAACAGACCCCAAAGTGCAGGGCTGGGGAACCAACACCCTCCACCTTCAGCCTGAGCACAGGTGTGCCTCGGTTTTTAAAACGATTGTATTCCGCCACGGTTACAGAGGGGGAAAGGGCACAGAAGTGTGTTTCTGTACCACTGTTACGTATTTTATTTTGTCTCGTCTCTCCTGCCGCTTGTGCTCGGTTGCTGCGTTGTGCCAAAAAATGATCGTCTGCCAAACCCTGATTTCCGGTATTTGCCAAAAACTGATTGCTTGTATTTAAACTGCTATCAATAACTAGTTATGTGTGTTATGTGACATATGTGAAACATATGCTAAACGTATCCCTCATAAATGATATGCAAGTACAACAACAAAGAGTTATAAAGATACTTGAAAAACAGGTCATTTTAAAAATTTATATAGAACCCCTTTGTAAACCCTGTTCACTGAAGTCTATTTAACAACATAGGTAAAGATATTGCACATAAAAACACACAGAAACATTGGAAATCGCTTTTTGGCACTACAGTAGTGTAACCAAGCTCCTCTTAAACCTCCAGCTGGTCTGTGCAGATAGCAGGCCCCGGGTTCTGTCTCTTTAGGTGCGGAGCTGACCATCGTCAAATGATAAACGCGTGTGTGGGAAGAACAAGAATACTGGGAAGAACCGACCAGTTTATGGACGCTGGCTAATTTCTAAACAGGCATCTGCGCGGACACCTACATCGGGCTGTAGCTTTGCGGCTCGAAAGAGACTTTTCTGAGAAAAACAGCGCGACGGCGGACTGTTGTGTGGCGTTAAAAACGAAAAGCAAAGAAATGCATTTTAAAGACGAAATATTCGGTGTTTTCTTTAATTATTATTTGTATTATTTGTATTGTTCTGCTTTGTGGGCACCTCCCACACATCAGTCTGACCATCAGCAGTTAATGCAGAACAGCGGCAGCACCGAGGAGAGCAGCAGAAGACCTGTTCAGGAGCTAAACTCGGGATTAACTGAGCTCAGGCTAAATTTAGGTCGGTGCTTACCTTTAGATGAGCCACAAAACGAGAGAAAACTCCTGCTGGGTGAAGCCGGACCGCTCGTTCCTCCTGTTTTCTGGCGTTGAAAAATATCAATAGGTGGTTTACCGCCACCTGCTGGTGTGGAGGAACTGAAATACGACTCCATATTGAACGTCGATTTTGAATAAGTTTGCTTCCTCCAGCGTCAGAAAATGCTCGGTGGATTCACAGCATGGATCACAGTTTGCTGCCGAGCTTCTCTGTTATGATCGGTGACTTGTTTAATCAGTGTGTCTACTCACGAGACTCAGCTCTCATGTTTTCCTGTGAATCCTGCAAAAACAACTTCTTCCCCTCGCTGTTTCCCTTCAGTTTCTGCATCATTAAGCTCTGGATTTCTAAACCCTGACACCGGAGATCCTTTGTGGCCTTTTCTCTGCTACAGTAAATGATCCTCTGATTTGATTCACTGGACTCTTTCATGCATTTGTATAACTGTTTGCAAACAGACACGCTATCCTTGGTCTTCTTGTCAGTAAAGCCTGCTGTGATGTCAGAGAGGATCCATGGCTGTATTGATGTTGTTCTCTCTGATTCAGTTTCATAGACATAGACAAACTTCATTTTCTTTTTCAGCAGATGGACCCAAACTGTCAAGGCTCAGAAATGTTGAAGGCAATAAACCTCAGTCCTTCACAGATATGTCTGTCTTCTGATGACATCAGGATTAGAGCCTGATTTGGTCACACTGATCACAGATAACAGAAACAGTGACATCTCTCCAAGAACCAGACTAAGCTCACACACTGAATGATTTGAAAAACAAAGCATCACAAAACTAGAC